AGGGGGGGGGAGGGGAGGGGAGGGGTGGTCCTGGCAGTGGCGTACCTGGGGCAGGCCGTGCTAAGGGGCTGGCTCCCGGGTGCAGGGAAGGGAAGGGCTCTGGTTGGACTGGTCTAAAGCCAGCTGCTGGGTGTACTTGCCCAGAAGGTCCCTTGCCCTGGGGCACCGGGGGGGCTGCTCTGTTCCCCACAACCAACGTGGAAACCTCCAGCCTCATCCGCCGATGTGCCCAGCCCTGATTTCACTCACCCCACCGCCCTCCTCCACCAGGCCAGATACCACAGTGATGGGCACCACGTGAGCATGATGGCGTAGAGCTGCAGCTGCTGGGTGTACTTGCCCAGAAGGTCCCTTGCCCTGGGGCACCGGGGGGGCTGCTCTGTTCCCCACAACCAACGTGGAAACCTCCAGCCTCATCCGCCGATGTGCCCAGCCCTGATTTCACTCACCCCACCGCCCTCCTCCACCAGGCCAGATACCACAGTGATGGGCACCACGTGAGCATGATGGCGTAGAGCTGAGCCCACTGTCCAGCGTGGCCTGCAGCGTCATCTCATTGTCCCGTCCCCCCACATTCCCTGCTTCCACCTCTGGTCCAGCACTGCGGCCCTGATCCCACCAACGCCGATACGTGCTTCCGTTCACTGCCAGGTGCAGTCCTGGGTACAGTTAGGGGTTAGGGTCAGGGTTAGGGGTTAGGCATGAGGATTAGAGGTTAATGGTTAGGGGTTAGGCATGAGGATTAGAGGTTAACGGTTAGGGGTTAGGGTTAGGATTAGGGATTGCGTTAGGGCTAGGGGTTAGGGGTTGCATTGTGGGTTAGGGCTAGGGGTTAGGCATTAGGGTTAGGGGAGGGTTGGGGGCTAGAGGTAGGTAGGTTTGGGGGTTACGGCTAAGGGTTAGGCATTAGGGTTAGGGGATGGAGTAGGGGACGGAGAAAGATTAGGGGTAGGGTTAGGGGTTAGGCATTAGGGTTAGGAGATGGGGTAGGGTTGGGGGTAGGGCTAGGGGTAGGCATTAGGGTTAGGGGAGAGGGAAGGGTTGGGGTAGGTTTGGGGGTTGGGGGTTAGGCATTAGGGGTAGGGTTGAGGGTTGGGGGTTAGGCATTAGGGTTAGGGGAGGGAGAAGGGTTGGGGGTTAGGGTTGGGGTAAGGCATTAGGGTTAGGGGAGGGGGAAGGGGTGTGGGGTAGGGTTGGGGGCTAGGGATTATGCATTAGGGTTAGGGGAAGGGGAAGGGTTAGGGGTAGGGTTGAGGGTTGGGGGCTAGGGATTATGCGTTAGGGGAAGGGGAAGGGTTGGGGGTTAGCGGTAGGGTTGAGGGTTGGGGGTTAGGCATTAGGGTGGCTGGCCTGGGAGGGCTTTGGGGCAGGGACGGCCTCCTTGTTTTTTGCCGG